GCGATTTAAGTTAATTATAAAGTATTTAGGCTAATATCAATGATTTGAACCAGTTATCCATTCGTAAGTGGTTTATTTTAGTATTCAAATCATACCACTTAGCTTGGGGGGAGGATATGTGGATTTAAATCAGTCTGAATGGATATGAATACAAAACTTTGATGGAAATATCTCAATTCCATTTAGCTTGCCAATACTCATTTCAGATCTCTGACCATTATTGCTTGCTCTTACATATTATAAAGCTTATAATATATACTTGCATACAAAAATTCAAGAATGGATCGTCATGATTTACCACAATATCTTATTACGAGTGTCTTAAACACGGTTTCTTCATAAGTAAGATATCGAAAAAGCTATGTTGTGTGGAAATACTAAGATCATACTCAACCTGGCCTTCCACCGGCGGGTAATGCACTGAAAACGTATTCTTATTCATAGGAATCATCCTCCTGCTCATCTTTCCTTCTGATGTGATATTCGCCGTTCCCAACACACAGTGGCCTATAAATCTTACGCAAAACCTCTCTCCCGAAAACTCATTTTGGTGTTGTTATCATCCAAACCTCTGCATCTTATAGTAGGACGGGAATGATGAGCGTCATGTAGGGTTTGGCCTTTATTCGTCGAGAGGGGACTTCACCTTGTGTCAATCATTCTTGGCCAAAGGGGCTCCAAAAGAGATAAAGTTATCTACGATTTTAAAGTTATGACTGTCAACAGTGACGTGGGAGCCCGGTGCAACTGTTGTTTTTTTTTTGGTCCTCGTTCACTGCCAGACTCATACATTTCACTTCCTTATCTTATCTGGGGGAAGCAGAACATACGGGGAAGTTTTTGACGCCAATGAACTATATCATCTTGTATAGAAGATTGTACGTTCTCTATTCAGCTCTATAGCTCTATAGCTCGCTTAGACTAAAAGTCACCCGATAAGGAGTCATATTATCTGAAATCTCACGGAATTTTTGGTGTTGCTTAATGTCAGCTTACACCACCTTTTTCGGCGGTATCAAATTCACACATAGCGTCGCAGAGGCAGATCCTTTTGTGCTGTCGACGCTGCTTTAAAATTAACGAGGAGGTGATCCTCTTCTTGTGGAGCTTTTTCCATGATTTGACGTATGGTGTATATCTGGTAAATGGTGGATTTAGTAGGTTCTAAACCGCACTGATAAGGTTCAATCAGTTTCTTGACGGTGGGTTTTAGTCTTTCGCATAATTCGTTCGATAGGATCTTATATGCGATACTGAGGAGTCTTATCTCACGGTAGTTGGCACAGACTTTGGGATCGTTTTGTGGATTAGGTAGGGCACATTTAGGTTCTAATTGAATACCAGTACTCGTCGATTGAGTCATTCTCCCGCCATGAATCCAACATCAAATTTCGCTTATATAACAGCAGTGCTAAATGACCGACCTTGTCCCGTCCATCTCACTTCCTGTATGGCAGTATCTCTTCCGAGGTGTTGTTATTATTCCTTTTAATGGAGCTGATTTTTACGAGACGGGTTGCGCAAATTCCGCCAAGACAGACGGCCAGTCGCTGCCGCTCCCCCTTCACTTCAGTATACACTTGCATTCGCTATTAATATCCTCAAATTAATTGGAGTTTCGCTATTAATTGTGGATAATTTGCCATTTTGATAAATTAAGAAATGAACAAACAAACTCAATGAGCCAAAACTGTTGGCTGATAAATTGTAATTATAGCAATTAAGTCGTCGGAGTCGTTGTCATTATCTGAAAATCAATATTATTCTGTTAATATGCGAACAAAAGCAACCAAAGTGTCATAATAGTCGTATACACGTAATAGAGAGTGGAAAGAGAGATTGATAAATCCATATCAATGCAAGCACTCACTGCCGGTGAAATGAAACAACAACCGAAGTACGCATAAATTATTTAAGTAAATATGTTTAGCTATCGAATTTATTCCCTCATATATTTATATTTAATATCTATAGATAAATACAATTGATAAGAGTATCGCGTATATAAAGGGTGATTTTTAAGAGCTTTAGGAAAGATTTTCAGAAAAAAACTTATAAAAATCAGAAATATGGATTTTAAATCGATTGTACGGTCCATATAATTTGATTATTAAAGATTATTTCAAGTAAATGTGGACCGTGACTACGCCTCAAATGGTCCATCCGCTTAGTCCGATTTTGCCATACTCTTTTCAACATTTCGGCTGGTATCTCACGAATAAATGTTTCAATGTTGTCCGCCAATGCGTCAATTGAAGCGGGCTTGTCTCTATAGGCATTAGATTTAATATAGCCCCACAAAAAAAATTGTCTAAAGGCGTTAAATCACACGATCTAGGCGGCCAATTGACCGTATCCGAACGTGAAATAAAATGTTCACCGAACTTGCCTCTCAATATATCCAATGTTACGTGTGCTCTGTGGCATGTGGCACGGTCTTGTTGAAACCACATGTCATACAAGTCAAGCTCTTGAATGATCATAAAAAAATCACCCTTTATATAGACGGAGATGACGAGGTTTGAATAGCGTTACGATTTAGGACCCCATCCTCTGCGCCAATTACTGTGGGATTAGCTTATAGGCCTACATTGACGAAGGAAAACCAAACCCTTGGCTTGTGTCTCTCTCCAGTCTCGTCCCGCTGTATGGCACAGAAGCGTGAACGTCTATATCTGATGAATCGGTCTTGAGAATCTTCAAGAGACAATTTTTGCGGGAGATTTGTGGTCCTTTACGCATTGGCAACAGAGGGTACCGCATACGATGGGAAGATGTACGAGTTTTAAAAGCGATATTGACATCGTAGAATTGGAGGATTTTCATGTGGAGATCTTTGCATGCAACAAGACGGAGCTACATGCCATACAGCCAAACGAAACAATCAGATTTATTCCATAACTTTTGGTAAGCGCATTATCTCGCGCCGTGGGACTGTGACGTGAACTCGCAGATCATACGATCCTCCGCTCCGCTGGAATATTTTTTGTAGAGAAATGTGAAGTCACTTTACTTTTTTGAGCTTAAAATATAGGGGACAACTGAATACTGTTACTTTTCTGTATACAAATTAATCGGATTTTCACTGGGAAATGTTACACAGTTATATATGTATGTATGTACATATACGACTATAACAGTAACTGATTTATTAAACGACGACAGCTTTGTAGCTACAAACTAATTATAGAAAATTAAGATTAATTAATTAGCGAAAAAATGCAAAATGTTTCTATGTGTGTTTGTTTGTACATATATGCCGAGATTTACATATGTATGTTCATATTTTAGAAATAGAAATAAATGATTATTTATCTACTGCGAAATAATCAAATGTACACATTACCGATAATTGCTTTCTATACGTTTTAGTTGCTTTTAGCTTCAAGTGTTTGAGTAAGAGTTGCGTTGTTTATTTCCAGTACAAGGAAAACTCTTAAAAAATATGTAATATTCTTTGTGCCTTCATTGTTCATCTACTCATACGTTGAATGAAGTAAAATTCAGACTAAATTAAATAAATCTGGATTCGAGTTCTGGTTCGATCAACATCCAAAATCATAGAAAATTACTTTTTCAAACTGCGGTCGCCCTTCGGTAGGAAATGCTAATCCCTCCGATAAAAATTCATCGGCGCTTCATAGACAGCTTAGTAGAAACTGAAGGTCCCTCCATTTGTTGGAAACACATTACAACGCATACCATAAATTCGTTTAGAATCTCGGCCGCAAATCACTTTAGTGGTTACAAAGCGCCAATTATATATATAATATTACATCCCCACAAGGTGGAAATTCAATAGTTGGTTCCAGGTGCGAAACCCCTCTAGATGTGAATAGAGATTAGGTTTAGTAAGGATACTATCTCAATCTATATCGACAGGCCCAAAATAGACTGCAAAGTAGGGAGAGCAGTATACCCCAAGGATCTCGACATCTTTTTCTCTAGGAGTCTACTATACTCAGCTAGTGTCTTCCAAACGGAAGCTATAGGCATAGAGAAAGTCTATCGAGCTTTATTGAATAACGACTGGACGATGGAGGTAGCAACTACCTGCACATATTGCCAGGCTGTGCCACATCTAAAGAGGCGTTCAAATGTAGAAGGGTTTTAAGCAGTCCCTCGACTATATTCAAGACAGCCGTGTTCTCGGCGCCCGTACAGAGAATCATCCCAGGCAACTTGGGAGGCAGATAAGTTAGTAACAGAAGGTATGACTCTACTGTCTACTTTAAAACTAATGCTGAAGCAGGCTTCCACTAAAATATAAAATTCAGCTTGCTTAACAAAGGAACTTGTAACGTGACTCGGCACCTTTGACGTGTATTTGACGCTAAAAGATCAAAGACTTGGATTTTCTAGATCTGTTCACCTTCAATACAACCATCGGTATACCAACCGGACGATGTTTATTTTAGATGTTACGGTAGGAGTATGGGATGGTTTTCAAATATTTTTTTTCCAAACTGCAGAGTCGAAAAAGGGGAGGAGTCTTTCGAGCACTACCTTTGTCACTGTCCAGCCTTAAGCACTATACGACATAAAAAGCCGGGATATAACGTTGGCATACCAACGTCTGGTATTGGTACCATCGCATTGCTCATAAAGCACACGAAATGGTTCGTACTTTTAAGACGGTGAGAAATACACTGCATCGGTATAATAAAGGGCCTACATGCGCCCCTGCGCTAGTCGCTTTAATTAAAGAAGCAGCTTTTCACTTACTCTGTGGATGCTCGACTCTGTCGCCAACCAAACATCAGGCACCGAATCTTAAAATTCGAGCATTCTGCTTCCCAATTATAGAAACTGACGCATAAGTCATTGTAAGGCGTGATAAGGATGGGTACAATGTATATCAGAGTTCGCCTTGACAGACTCTAAGATTTTACTAAAATATCTCCGACATCTGAAAGACACTAAGCTCAAATGTGCCCCACTAACCAATATATGTATCTATTAAAAGAATATTAAATATATTTAATTTTTTACATTCTCAGGATTATTAAACATGTCTCATCGCCTATTCTTGAACAAATTAACGGGGAGTGCCAGACTTGGTCAGTTGCTAACTCGCCAAAATCCGGTAAATGCAAATGATTTAGCATATTTTAAAGTTCGTTCTCAGTAATAATAATTTTATTTCATAAACACAAATTCAGCTGATTGTATACTCACAACTGGCACATACCATCAGTAAGTATTTTAAGTCATAAGAAAAAGAAAATAAATTTGTTATTGAAATTCATTTTACAGAGCCCAGAACACCTTTAAATAAGCCATCGATGTTTAGTCCGACGATTCTCAAACGTTATTGGGAGGTAAGTTTTTTATTTTTGCTTAAAATCTGGGGCATTTTATACACGTATTCCCACACTTACACATACATACGAGTATTTTGCCTTAGCTACACTCTTGGGTATATGCGTCTAGATTCAAAAGGTATACAGTTATTCCAACGAAAAAAGATTTGTAAAAAAAAATTAAACTTATTAAAAAAAAAAGATTTAAAAATTAAATTAGTAATTTTAATGGCATGTAATTTATTTATAAAATATTTTGTTTATATATATTTATCGTTTTCTCGAAATCTACGCTTACATCGAATCATCGGCTTTGCCCAAAATATTTTTTTATTGATACACATACCTACATATACTTATACGCACGTACTCAAGCACTCAGGTTTTCTTTGGCTGGGTGTTAGGCCAGTGGGCGGTCTTTATTCGACACATCAATGTGTAATAAGACACTTGTCGCATTTACTTTTACCTCCAACTTACCTCGTAGCTCAAACCTGCCAAAATTATAATTATACTTTCATTTATATCCTAAAATTTAATATTATTTTAATATCTTACGCATTTCCATCAAATTTTAGTATAAAATTAGTAATTTTTCAAACAAACCTCATGTTTTGCAAAATAGCCCCTGTATCCCCCTGAAAAAATAGTGCCTGTAATAAGAAGCTTGAATTTCCATGAAGACAAAAACTACAAATAATGAAAATGTTATTAAGCAATATCAGCAGCTCTACACATTGAGATTGGTGAAAAAGCTATTACTTACGTCAGCTTTAGCTACATACATACATACATTTAAATCAAATAAGTGCTAACTAATAAAATACTTAGATTTTTTTATTATATTGCAAATTAATAAATAAAAATTAAAAAAAAAAAACAAATAATAATATAAAATAAAAATGTAAATAATATTAAAAAATATTAATTAAACAAAAGTGTAATTAAACTAAATAAACTTAATATTGTTGTAATTTTTTGACAATTTCCAAAAAATATATGATCGGAAACAGCTCCATAAAAAGCCCAAAAATTAAATTAAGTTATATTAAAATAAAATGAATTAAATGAAGTAAAATGAAATAAATAAAGTAAAAATATAATAATTCAAATTAAATGAAATATATAAAACAAAACTTAGTATAGTTGAAATAAAGATAAAATAAAAACAAAAAATTAAAAATACTAAATAAAATATAAATTTAAATAAATCGCAATAAAATTAAAAAAGTAAAATAAATTAATTAAAATGAGAAAATAAAATTAAATAAAATATATTTACAAATTGCGTTTTGTACCCGCTGAAGAGATTTTCAGCCGAGCTCCTCCTCCAATTTGTAATTTTGCGTCTTGATATTTTTGGTAGTCAGCCTCCGAAAGGCTGATGGTTTTTATGGATGGCAGTACGCAACGTTAACCACTCGGCTAATATTAAAACCAAATTAAATTTAAATTAAAATCATGCAAAATGAAAAAAGTGAAATAAATAAAATTAAAAAATTTTGTTAAATATAATACAAGTAGTCGAAATAAGTTAGATAAAAAAAACATAAAAAAATAAAAATAAAAAATTCAAGAAAATAAATTAAAACATATTGTAAGTAAAATGTAAATAAATTTAAGTAGAATTTTATAAAAGAACACAAAGCCAATTTAAATTAAATGAAGTAAATTAAAAATAAATTAAATTAATTAAGGAAAAAATTAAATTAATTCGATTCAAATAAAATGAAATAAAACAAAAGAAAACTAAATACATATAAAAGTAAAATAAAAAAAAATATTTATTTAAAATTAAATCAAATAAAATGACATAAATAAAATAAAGATAAAAAACAAAGTCAAATTAAGCCAATATTTTGAGTAAAATGAAATGAAATGAATATATATTTTAATTAAATTAAAAATACAATTTAAAATTAAATGAAATTTCTATCTTATTTGTAAAAAATTAATAAAATAAAATGAGATTAAGTCAATATGTAAAATAAAATTCATCTTAAAACTGATTGAATGAAATTAAAATGAAATAAAACGAAATAAAACGAAATAAAATAATATAAAATAAAATGAAATAAAACGAAAAAAATATAGTGCAATAAAAATAAAAAAAAAAAAATTGGAAAAAATACAAATTTAAATAAATCACAATAAGATAAACTAAAAAAAAATAAGTAAAATAAATTAGTTAAAATGAAAAAAATAAATAAAATAAAATATATTTACAAATGGCGTTTCTTAACCGCTGAAGCGATTTTCGGCCGAGCTCCTCCTCCAATTTGTGGTTTTCCGTCTTGATGTTTTTTCAACAAAAAAATTAAATAAATGTAAAAGTAGAATAAAATAAAAATATTAATTAAAATAAATTAATAAAATAAAATGAAATTAAGTCAATATGTAAAATAAAATAAAGTTAAAAAATTATTGAATGAAAACAATATGGAAAAAAAATAAAAAATAAATAAAGTAATATAAAATAAAATGAACTAAAAAATAAAATACAGTGAAAAAGTAAGGTAAATAAAATAAAAATAAAATTATCGTAAAAAATGTAAACCAAATTAAGACGAAAAAGTTCACATAAAATCAACATAATTTCAAATTCCGAATTGTTTGATAAGCAGTATAATACATCACCGAATGTAAAGTTCTGAATTCAATCGGGTAAATTTGTAGCAAATAAAACGAAGTACTATTTATTTATAATACACATATAATATTATTTTATTATAATTTTTTAATAATTTTTGGTTAGTAACATATTTTTTTAACAAACCTGTAAGCAGTAATACATATATAACCATCTATTTATTAAATGCGCTACATATTTAGCTAATCACTTACATATGTATGTATATACTTATAGAAACAAAGCATATTAAAAAAATGATTTTTCTTTCTAAAAACAAGAATACTACTACTTTGCAATGCTAATAAATGTGAGCGAAAATCATATAGAGTCTATAAAGAAATCTATTAAAAGTAGAAAATTACAAAATGAAAAGTAAAGATAGATGGGTGATCACCCTTATTTGAATAACTAGCATTGAGAGAAATTTATGTACACATCGCTTCGACTTTGTTACTCTTTGAAATGCAATATCAGATTCTATTTCCTTTGGGCATTGCATTTCCACTACATTTTTGTTTTAAAATATACAAATGAAAGAGCATGTATATACCTATGTATGTATGTACATCAGATGGTGTTTACCCTTTTGATTTCTTCACCAATATCTTATAATTGCTCAAAAATACACAAGCAACTCATTGTTAAATTTAAGAGTGATGTAAAGAAATTATGTGACAAACATATGTATGTTTGTAATACAATATATGTATATACACGTATGTAAGTATATACTGTAAAACTGTGTATGTACATGTCAATACATTTCTATTTAGCACACATGTACTCGTACATATAATATGTAAATATATGTACAAGACATTATACAAATATACGCATTTTGCCGTTATGCTTAATTGAGCTGTTTATTGTTTATGAATGTATAAGACTTCTTTCTGCTGTTATTATGCTTGCTTTGACATTTTCACATTGACCTCAACCACGAATTTAATTTAATTGAATTCTTTAGTTCTCTAATATTCTTGTTTACTCCTTCTGAAGCGGTTGAAAACATTGAAGGTCAATTAATTTTTGTATGTATTCTATGTGTATGAATTTCTATATGTTTATATGCAATTTTAATTTATATTTAAATTCTGCTAAAGTTAATGATTAGCACTTTCTTAATTTACAGTAATTTTTTTTTTATAATTTTTATTTTTAAACCATTTTTTTTTCACTCATTAACCACTACCTGTTTAGTTGCAATGTTTAGTTGCAATTTCTGCTTATATAGGTATGACTTACTGTATGTCGTTTTAAGTAACTTTTTCTATAATAATGATTAGTTTTATGTTCAACGTATATTGTCAGTGTCTTTCAATAATTTTACTAAATTTACTTTGACTGCTTACATTTTTTTTCAAATACAAAATTTTTTGCTAAGTGGTTTTGGTGTTCATTTTTCTTCTCTACTTTTCTATAACGTGCCTGAAATAGTTAATTTATTATTAATTTTTGTTTTTTTTTTGTTTACTTCCATTTTTTCATGTACATTTACTTATGAAAGAGTGAATTGCATATAATTTTTTTTAATGAATAATTAAATTATCGAAATTATTTTTTTTCCGTTCAACGTAATGTTATCGAAACAAAAAGGAATAGTCAATGTTGAAAGCATACAGACTCAGCGTTAACGTTAATTTTAAAAACTGGTCGGCAGCTCAGTTTCAACCTTTAACATTATCTGTTAGCGTTTTAACATTTTCTGTTCAGGATTTAACAGAAACGACAGCTTTTGGCTTCGGGTAAAAAAGAAAAAAATTTATTTTTATAACTCATTTAACCATAACATTTCAAAATTTTTCAACCGAAACGATTGAAATTTTTTGATTAACGTGAAATTTACCGCTACGATGCAGACTTGATATTATTTATTTCCCTATGCAAATAGCATTAAAGTCAGATATAATAGTATATACTTAATTTACTAGAAACTCGCTTCAGCGATTACAAAGCTCGTATATATATACATATTATATGTAATAAATTATATTTCAATTTTCGTTATAACTTTCAGAAAAGATATGTTTAAGAAAGTTTTAAAGTCAATAAAAAAAAAAACATCCATAAGTTTAATTGACCTTAAGACCGCAATGCTGCTATTTTCTGGATCGGAGAAACAAATTGTATACATCAAATGATTTATATTTGGCTTGCTATTTGGTAAAAAACTGCTATATAACATTTTTAAAATATAGATTTAGGTAGATTTTAATGTGAACTTTTAATATTTTCTCATCGCCCTCAGTCGATTCCACTTTAATATAAATAATTTAGTGGTACACCCTACGTTGGAAGTGCTCCAGAGCCTTAAGTGTGTCTCTGTGGTCGATTGGCTTAATTTCTTTTGCCTTCTACATTCGTGTGTCCCGGGAACCCTAATTAT